TTGTACCCCCATAATATCCTAAAATTAAAAAAAATAAAACCAAGAAAGTACAATTATAACAAACTCTAGTTTGGATATAAATAAAATATTTAAACTTATAACAAACGCAAGAGCTGTAGGGCTGGAGAAATCCAAACAGCTCGACTAATTTTATGTGCAAGAATTTGTTTTTTTCCCGTCTACAAACGACTGCCACAGCTTAGGAAAACAACACAGCTCAGGTCACGATTCAGCGACGTGAAACGAGTCAGAGCGGGGCGCCCGCGCCCGCGCCCACCAGCCTGGGCGGGGCGAGGGCGGGCACTTCCTGGGCCTCTCTCTCATTCCATTGGCTGACAAGGCTCAGGGGGAGGGACTGAGTGGTCACCTGGCAGGAACCGGAAGGCAGGGTTATAAAGTCGAGGAAGCTGAGACCTGCGCTGAGTTTTCCTCTTCCCGTTCCTCTCGTCGCTGTCTTCAACCCCACCTCGATCCTGTTGTCCACCGGTCTTGCATTGCTTTCGCCATGGCCCTCAGCGATGCTGATGTGCAAAAGCAGGTGAGGAACTGGGGTTGGGTCTCGCAAAGCTGCGGCGTCCTTCCCTGCGGTGGTGAGCTGGAGCCCGGCTCAGGGAGGGCGGGGGCCTTGGGCAGCCCTGATGCTGTAGGAGGGTCCGCTACCCCAATTCCCCGGATCCTAGCGGCCTATTTTGCGGGACGGAGGTTTGCTGACGGGGGCGTTTGCCCTGCAGCTCATGTGACTTCTCGGGTCTTGCCCGCTGCCCATTTGGCCTGCGCGCCGCCTCCCTGAACACCCTGGCTCTTTCCTCCCACCTCTGCAGTCTCTATTTCCCCCGGCTATTCGCTGTGCTTAGTAGGACAGAGATCTGTGCAAGAACTGAAAACAGCCTCTTAACTGTTAACCCTGATGGAACGGCTCACGGTTTACGATAGAAAGAATCAGTGCCTAGGGGAGAGACCTTCCAACCAGTGTTCTTTTGAGGTCATTCACATTATGAACTGTTAATCTTTAGGTTGGGGGCATCTCTTCTATGATGAATTGTAATGGCTGGTCTCCCACTAGTTTGTATGTTAAAATTTGTCAAATGCATGATCTCTTTTTCTTACAGTTACGAGCCCCAGTGCCTAACAGTGGCACAAAGTAGGTGAGTCAGGATTTATGGAAAAAATTGTTATGGAAGTCATGAACCTACGTCAGTTTTGAAAGTGTATAATTATTCCTGGGAAACTCGTTTAGTTTTAAAAAATGTACCATACCTTCAAGTCTGTAGGTATTAGGAATATTATAATGCAAAATCCTCTCAGGGAAATATAGTGGCAGTTTATAATCCTATAACATGAGAAAAAGTGGTTTCCATTGTCCTGCCAATCGATATCCTGAAATCAGAGTCCTTGCATTTAGTAGTCATATTGTC